AGGATTTTTCTAGGTATCTGCATTTGTAAAGTGATTCCCAAAAAGTGTTTTTTCCTTCCTGAAAGAGGTGCTCATGCTACATTTATACAACTGAGGCTGAAAGCCTCCTGTGTCAGAGAGAGCCCATCACCTCTGCAGTGCCATTGCTTTGGTGAAGAGAGGGACTCAGGAAATTTTGGGAGGGGTAGAGACAACCAGTGGGAGCTACTTTCCTTTGAGCTGGGCTGTGGATGGACTAGAGCTGGTCTGGGGTGTCAGAAGTGTTGCTACCAAGCAAGAAATGGCCCTGTTATCACTAAACTGAAAGGTCAGCTCTGCTGGAAGTGCCAATTACAGGTAATATATGAAGTAGGTTTCTTGGTCTAATTGGGAAATATTTTTAAAAGACACTAGAAATCGTGGGGGTGAACTGTGAACTTGTGTCCCTCCAGGTGAATTACTGGTGTGGATTCCTAAGGGGGTTAGGGAAAATTATTCTAAAGAAGCGTGATGGATGTCTTTGGGGCACCTGAGCCTTGTTAATGGTCTCCTACCTTTGTCCTGAGTTTATTGTAGCAATATAAAGTTGAAAAGTGCTGATGCAAGGATTACAGCAGACTTTAGGAAATGATCTTTGTACAGTGCTTTGTGAGCAAAGAGAATGTGCTACCAGCACAGTGCATCCACCATGGAGTGTTTCCATCCTTCCACACATCCCTTCACACATCAGGATAATAAATAACACATCACACATGCTCACAGGGTGTCCTAGGCTGCCCAAAGCAGCAGCCTCCAATTTTTATCTGTAGATCTGTCATGTATTAAGAGCAATTTTTCCATCCTTTCTCTGTATCAAGCTTGGGAATTCCTGGTGGAAGCTTTCCCTTGTGATGCCAAACCATTGCTGCTGGTGTTCAAAGATCGTAGTCACAGTTTGATCTCGTCTCTTGCACTATTTTCTGCCATAAAACATATTGCTCCCATTGTAAAAATATCCTTTGTCTCTTTTCACAGAGTGATGAGGTTCTAACAGTCATCAAAGCCAAGGCACAGTGGCCAGCCTGGCAACCTCTGAATGTGTAAGTAAGTAGGGAATTGTCTGTCTCAAGAGCTTTGTGTTGGCTAAAGAAATAACCTAAAAATTTGTTGATAGATGAGTTTGATGAGTTTTTCAATTTTTTTTTTACCATGTTGTGTGTTTGATTAGTTTGTTGCTTTCTTTTGTTGGTTTTGGGTTTTTTTCCCCCACATCTGCTTCTCTCTTTCTTTCCTGTTTAGCAGCTCTCCATTTTTTACTTGGGTTGGGTGCTTGGGTTGGCTAACTGTGGCAGCAGGACTGTCCCATGGAGTTTGTGCCTCCCACACATAAACAGTGATGTTTATGCAATGCTTTCTCAAATATGTTACACTGTTTTGCATTAGTAGCAGCTATTTTTGGCATCCTGTCTCACACTCTGTGCAATGCACTGTCACAGCAAACCCTGATGCACCAACAAAAAACTCTCAAAGGGCTGATTTTTCAAAAAGCCAATCTGAAACACTCCGTGATGGCAGTGCATCCACCATGCATCCACCATCGAGCCTTTCCATCCTCCCACACACCCCTGCATGCATCAGGATAATAAATAACATATCACACATGCTCTCAGGGTGTGCCAGGTTGCCCAGAGCAGCAGCATCTAGTTTGTATCTGTAGATCTGTCATGTATTAAGAGCAATCTTTCTGTCTTTGCTTTGTACCAAGCACCAACAAAAAAAATCTCAAAGGACTAATTTTTCAAAATGCCAATCTGAAACACTCTGTGATGGCCTCCTGATCCTGGTGATGCTGTACCATAACCATGACTGTTTCACTAAGTCAGGCAGGAATTTCCTGCCCAGGATCCTGGCTCTGGGCTCTCCAGCACTCAGCAGGAGAGAGGAGAAAGCTCCTCTTTCAGGATGCTCTTGAGTTTCCTGGTGGCCCTTCAGGGCTGGTGGTTCCTGCATAACTTATCTGCACTTGGCCCAAAGTTCATCCTCATTATTCAATCCCAAATGAGTGAGACCTACAAGAAGTGACTAAAGATGAGGACACAATAAAAGGGATCTGAGCTGAAAGTCAATTAAATCCTTGGAGGAGCAGGGCAATTGGTTTACTGCAATCCTGTACAGAAAAATAGTCCTGTTTGCTATTTCCTGGGAGCTGTTAATGAAGCAATGTGTCTGATTTTGTCACCTGTATTTCAGAAAGTAAGTGAAAACTTGAAGGTTAGATTAAAAAAAAACAAACCAGCAAAAGAGTTCACTTTTCAGAAAACATCCCCTACCCTAAAGGGGCTTAGAAACTCTTAAGCAGCTTAGGACTTAAGCTATTCACTTTATCCTTTTCCCCTCTGCAAAAAAAAAAAAAAAAAAAAAAAAAAAAAAAAAAAAAAAAAAAAAAAAAAAAAAAAAAAAAAAAAAAAAAAAAAAAGAAGAAAGAGAAAGAGAAAAAAAATTTAAAAAAAAGAGGTTAGGAGGTGAACTCAGCTTAAGAAGTGAAAAGATTTCTGATAGCTGATCCCTCTTTAATCTAGAAAAAGCCACAACCCAACAAACAAATGAAAAAAAGAAAGCCAACACCAAAGTATCAAAGTATGAAATCCCTCCTAACATGGAAGCTAAGGAAATTCATGGCAAGGAAATGGTTAGGGAAAAGACTTTACCACTGTGACTAACCTTGAGAGCATCTTACCTGAGCATAAGATGGATTTTCCATCACTGGAATATATTTTAACCCTGAGCCAGGGTTGTAGGCTCTGCACAGGACCTGCAGGTGAGGCTTTTTTGGCCTGTGTAATGCAAGAGGTCCCAGAAGTGGCATTCCTTATTTATGGTCTTGTCCCTGAATCCAGGATTTGGATTTGGTAGTATTTGCCACAGAGCAGCTGAGGATAGCACTTTTTTCCTTGCTGCTTTCTTTCTCTTCTCTCCGAATTAAGACTTTAAAATGGAAACTTTAAAATGGAAACTTTAAAATGGAAACTTTTCCATTGTTCTGCTCTGGCAAGTTCTCGATCTCAAACAAGCCATTTATTTTTTCACTCCAACTTCAGTGCTAAAGCAACACCTGTGTCTGATGTTTCTGTTACCAAAGTGAACAATCCCACCTGGAACTGGCTGCTGTGGCTGCTTGGCAGGCTTTGGCATAGAGCAGGTTTGCATTTTGTTCACAGAAAGATGGAGAGGGGATCTCCTGCTCCAAAGTCTCAGTACATCATCTTGAATATATTGCATCTTAAAAATTAATGCTAATTAAAGTGTATTGTCCCCATCATAATTCCTGATTTTATACAGCCCCAAGAAATTTCACAAAAATCTGAGTGCAGGAGATTTCTTAGGCAGATACTTCCACAGAGATGACTGTGAATGTTTTTGCAGCATCCTCCACATGTTTTTTCCAGTCAATTCTTACCCTTTCTCTGTGGCAGATTTTATCTTTCAGTAACATCAAAAAGTATAAATCTTGGTATTTGTGCTTTCAAATGCTCTGCAGGTGTTCCCCTAACCCTTCACTTTACAGGTAGTGTTTGATTTTTGGCTTTTTAAACAATTTTTTTTAAATCATATTTTGACATGTTGTCCTGCTTTTTGATTCCACTTAAAAATACGATCTAAGCTTCACAAGAAGACAAAATTTTCAATATCATTTAACTGTGGTTAATTTCTCATTTTCTATAGTGGCTTGTCCTTCTTGGAATTTAGATTAGAGCTGTGCAAGTATTGGATAATGACTCCTCAGGATAAACATTTTTTTTTTCTATTATTATACGCAGCACAACCATCTTACTAATCAAGATTGACTAAAAGTCATGAATATTTTATTTTTTGCATAGTCCTTGGTTATGTATGTAATGGATAATAGGGTGTGATAGTAGTACCAAAGTGCATTACAATGTGCCATGATAAGCACAGCATAAAAACCCTTCTGAATGTGCTTCACAGCCATTATAAAATGCATAATAGTATTTTTTTGTATGGAGGTCTGTCATGTCAGAAGTTGGAAAATTCAGCCTGCTCTCACTTCAAAGTTTACCTCATGATTCCTTGTCATCTCCCAGCATGATATAATGTGGAAAAAACATCCTGCCAAACTTCACTGTCTGTTTTTTGTGGATTCTCAATGTGCCTGCTCTTGGTCAAAAAATGGTTTTCCATTTTTATTTTTCTTCCTCT